GTTGGATTTGATCAGTGTGTAAAATTATAAAAGTGGTGTGTGTTTATATAATGAAATTGCTCATCACATTCGTGTTGATTTCGTCACTTCATGGGGGAGGTCAAATTCTGTTATAGTCCATCATTTCTATTCAGACAATTTGGATTCCACTTGATATGAAGTGCTTCTAATATTAGACGTTCTTTGTGATTACTGAAATTTTTCTGGATTATTTCACTATTGTCAAAATCAATTTTTTAACCTGAGTCTATAGCGTGTAGATCTATGGGTGATGATTCTTCAAGCTTTACTCGATGGTCTAACAAAGACGGGTTTACTGTGTTCATTTCTTCTCATTTTGATTTCTCGTGAGGTTTGTTCGATGTATATCGCATCACATTCCATGCATTTTATTTTATAGACACAATTAGATAGAGAATCTTTGGGGATTTGGTCTTTTATATGGACAAGGTTGTTTTGCAGTGTGTCTGATGTTTTGAAGAAAACTCTAGTGTCGAGCTTATTGAGTACTTTTCTGATATCGTCTGACATCTCTGCTCTATATGGAATGGCAGCTGTTGAGGTCCATGTTTTTGGAATACGTTTTCGACCATAGTCAATGTCTGCGTTGATTTTGTTGATGAAGTTCGTTGGGTAGTTGTTTTGCTTGAGAGTTTCAGTAATGTTTGATATTTCTTCTTCTTTTTCTTGCTCATCCGTTATCAGAGAAGTTTGTATAGATAGTGATATCCTTTTAGTGAAAGTTAAATGCTGGTTATTGGCACAGGATTCAATGTTGTTTCGAACACACAGACACACACACAAATGATTGATTAACACCAACAGGATACATGAAAGTCCAACTAAAATTTCACAAGTCAGAATTCACGGTCTGGCCATTGAATCGGATCCTAGTGGCTGAATGGTATACGAGCTTGTCGGAAGGTCCTGGGTTCGTACTGCCGATAAATCCCAAACTAGGATGAAACAGCTGTCCAGTACTCCCTGGTTTTCAAAGGTTCTCTAACTGATGTCAATCCGTAATCTACTCGTAAAAATTAAACTAATCCTTACACACCAACTGTGCAAAAAAAAATTCACAATACTAAAATGTATATGTCGTGAATAATCTTTAACAAAAAAAATGAAAAGCTTACAATATGGATATAAGGTAAGATCGAACAACGAATAACATTAATGGACAATACTTACATTTTAATAGTTTTAGTCCACATAGCTATAAATGAGCACTAGTCAAGACTGTGTACGCCTCCAAAGCCTCAGGATGGTCGGGGGTGGGTGTCTTGCGCTGCGGGTTAGCCAACCCTCCGTACACCTCTTGAAATGCTCTCATATGACCGTGCGTCTTACATAGCCTCTCCTGAGGAAGTCCTACTTACTGCCTTCACGTGGCGGAGGTGTTTATTTCACCGAAGTGAGGGGGCAAAAGCGGATGCCCGGCGCTCTTCACCGGGTTGACTGTCCATTGGATGACAGTCTAGGGGAGATGGCTAAACCCTGATTCCAAACCTCCAACGACTGGCGCATAAAGCTTACCGGCAGACGTATGGACAAAGGGCTTATTGGATGCCCTGGATGTCTGGCCCCATTCAAAAAGGCGTATGAACCGGACTCCGGTCACCGGCTGCCAATGGATAGTGGACTCCCTACTCCACTCCTACTGCCTTGTAGGTCACATTTGGCTGTGTAAAGGCTAGAGCTGCACTCTCAAACAAAAGGCCGAGCGATGCTGTGGACATCACTCGTACCCAATTCTCATGAAACTTCATGGTTCATGAAGCCGGCTCATCCTCCCGTAGGAGATAGCCGAAGTAAAGTAAAGTAAGACTCTGTACCATAGAGCGAGGGGAATATGCTCTGCAGAGAAACTAGAGGAAGAATTTGCGACTCTCGAAAAGGTGTTGAAAAACAATGGTTATCCTCAGGCATTCATTAACAAATATGGAAGATGTGAAGGCTCAAATATCAAACAAATCACAGATGAAAAAAAGCCTGTCTTCATTCAACTAAATTTTAAAGGTGAAAACATTGAAGAAATCGTCAACAGAAGACTGAGAACGTCACTAGCCATAGCCTATCCTGCAGCAGCTAAGTTGGTTCTCATCCATCGAACAACATACTCTTTGGTGTAGTCAAAAGTCGACAGATACCCTTCTCATGTTAACTCCAACTGCATGTACAAATTTACGTGTATCTGCGAGAGCGATTACATTGGGAGAACGGAAAGAAGGGCACACCTCCAATTTTCTGAACATGTACCGAAAAGCTCGCGTCTCAAGGGAACAAACTCTTATAACAGCGCTATTACCAGACATCTCTTCGACACGGGTCATGAGGTGGAAATCGGGAAATCCTTTAGAATTATCAATAGACAAAGGAGCTCGATTCTCCTCAAGTTTGCAGAAGCAATTTCCACCAGACGCTTGAAACCAGATTTATGTGTTCATAAAGAAGCAGTTATCAGTCTTTTCTTGCCCTGGTCACTGGATGTCTTTATTCTCTCCTTCATCTGATTACGTAATTTTTGTCTTTAACCTCAGCCCCTATTATGATTTGTATTTTCACTTGTTTCTATGATTTGAGTTGAACTCACTATATTGTTTACAATTGGCGGATGGTGGCTAGCAGTGGAATCCAGGATGCGCATTTCGTCCTATTTGGGACTCGTCGGTCCAATCAATCGACGGGAAAATCAAAAAAAAAAAAAAATTCAATTCAATCACTATATTGTTACCTAATTTATTAGTCACTCTGCATCTAACGCATATCTCGTCTTTATTATGTAACTCCTTTACCATTGTATGCATGCATTTATTTTGTTTACACTTGAACTACCTGTGTAAAAACCATACACGCGCAATTTTCTGAGCACTGTTCACTAATTGCGGGACTTTCCGTCAAACGATAGCATGAAAAAACTTTCAGGTATGTTTAAACTTTTCTGTACACAAACCTCATAATTTATTTAGACTGTAAGTAGTAGCTAATGAGACGCCAACGAAATAAATGATGGTACCATATTATTCTGCACAAACCGCTTTTGTTCTTGTTTTATTCAAATAACATCGATATTATGTGATGGTTTAAAGAGTTATCACAGTAGGTTTATTAGCATAGCTGTTAGTGTTGTACAATCTACTATCTATTTACTCAAAATCAGCATTTATAATGTCTTAAACCGGTTTCTGTACAATCTCATTAAAGAAAATTGCGTACCTATTAAATATGATACATATATAGAACATATTACCAAGTAAAGGTGATCAAGCTTCAGATATGCTCAAATATCGTCTCTCTAAATCAGTCAGTAAGACGTTCTTTGCAGCAAAATTGCATACGACATTCACCAGCCGCAAATTTTTCTCTACCTCTGTAAAAGATAAGCTCCCTCGTCTAGCCGCCTCCGTGTGCATCTACCAGTTCACCTGCTCTTATGGAGCAAGGTACATTGGCCGTAGTCAGCGAACGCTCTCCACACGGATACGAGAACATATTCCAGCTTGGTTTTACAAGGGAAAAAGGAAGTGTCTGCGTAGCTCTATTCTGGAACACCTGATCGACTTCTGTCACTCGGTCAACCCTGACCATGATTTCAAGATCATATATAGAATCCATGCTAACATCCTGCGTTTTCTTCGTTACAGACTTCTAAAGACAGCTGAGGCCTTGGCAATTCATGACTCTGGGCCAGACCTTTGTGTACAAAAGAAGTATGTACAATCCCTACTTCTGCCTTGGCCGTAGAGGGATAGACATTTTTTTATTTAGTTATTCTATGTACTTTTCCCTTATTACTTCGATTATTTTTATTATTATTATCATTATTACTATTCTCACTCTGAATCTTTTCCACTTGTCATTTTAAACCCAAAATTATTAATTGTTATATTTTTTATTTTCACAATATTGAATTCGATCTTACCAAATTTCACACCTTATTATGTGACATTTTATATTCGTCAACTAGTCTTATAATTATGTACCCCTTTCCAAAATCTACACATTATGTATGATTCTAAATATGACATTAATTGTTTTGCTACTTGACATTAAACTATGATTATCATCACAAATATTTTAATTGCATTTCATACTATTATTACCATTTCATGTATTCACACCTTTGACCTAATTCCCTCACCATATATATATATATATATATATATATATATATATATATATATATATACGATTGTACAGCTTGACAATAAATTCGTTGAAAAGAGTCTCTTCGTTAAATATTGCGTTCTTAATGCTACAATAGGAATTATTAAATTATAGAAGATTAGTCTGAAGAATATTTAGGGGTAGTCACATCAGAGCCTGGAATCGATCCATGCAGTCTTTGACTGTTAGTTTGAGCTAGCCAAGAAGGGGAGGGTGGCGGCAGCGATGTTTACTGCCTGGTTGGGGTTTGCCAGACACTGAGATCTAGTTGCTTGAGACTTTTGTTGAAATAACTCAGAATCATTCTCATTGACGTAGATGCATTCCCTCTTAATAAAATCCTTACTGGACCCATCAAATTCTCATTTCCCCCCATATATTTATCCCTTCTCTGACCCTACATTTTAGTTCTCCACAACCATTACGTGCTCTACAGAGTGTGGCAACATTAACCCTTAAGCTTTTGTGCAAGGTTCTATGTTGGAAACTCAGTAAGTCAGCTCGGTGATTTGGTTCATTGGCGTAAGCACTAGACTCCTGGACAATCGCTCTGGGGTTCGACTCTCATTGCGTTTACTTCACTCAGGGTAGTACTCTAATCAACCCTCACACACACACACACACTAAGTGCGACTCAACTCGGTGCTACTGGATGGTGACTTAGTTCTAACTGAATGTTAGCAAATCGTAAACGAAGCCATCAAGTATTTTGTAATCTATGTACGAGGTAAATGAATCCTCAAGTCCATCTGCACATCTTACGTCATCCATTCATCAAAGAAGCGCTATTATTGACTTGTAATCTTCAAACACAATGAAAAAATTCAAATATTATACCAAACATCTTTGTTTTATTGTTTTTTTTAAATAATAGAAATGAGTGGTTATCAACAACAAAAATAGAGTACAATTGAACATGAAATCCAAAATGCAAAAATTCTCTTTATGGTACAAAAAAGGCCCAGTAATAGCTCTTGTTTTTGAGAAAAAATGTATATAGCTCTGGTAGAGAAAAAAGGTGAAAACCTGAGTTGAAAATAAAATAAACAAGGATAATACACCAAGAAAATTGGATGAGTAAAGAAAGGCAACAAAAACAGAAAGGAGGAGTTCGTGTTTTATTTTACAAGATGATTGATTACCAATTAGGACTACCAAAACGTTGAATCACTTTGTAAGCTTCTTCTACATCTTTACGTGATTTCATACGCATATAGAAGATGGGACAATCACGACTGAAATTGCGAATTATTACACGAAAAAAAGGGAAAAAACAGAAACAATATGATTGGATGAAAAGAAAAAAAAAGAATTGCACTGTAAACAGATATTTGGATAGCCCTATTAAAAGAGGGAGATTATCTGAAAATGTTATATGAAGTATTTGCGCTCTTTGCGAATTATCATCATGTGAGAGACAATCGTTCTATGGAATTTCGAACAATCTGATCACACATTTACTTGTCAAGTCGATATATATGAAAAAGTTAAATTGAACAAAGTGACAAAAAGAGGATTTAAGAATAATTAACACAACTTTTGGTAATCCAATCAAATAAGGATTACCAAGGGAGGGTTAAGAGTAATAATAAACTGTTTTTGAATTCACAGACGAGGGAAGGTGGCATAAGTTTATGAATAGCTATACCCTCAGTGTATTTCAATAAGCGCCCTTGACCCTTTTTATAGATGACCTCAAAGGCTGAGTTAACATCAATCTTATGGTTTATCTCGATTAGATGTTTAGCTGTAGACGAGGTCACTCTTAACACATACCTTGGTAATCCTTATTTGAGTGGATTACGAAACGTTGTGCTAATCATTCTTAATTTTCAAGTATTGGTTTTGTAGGGATTTTGTTTGATTGCATGGAGGATTTCATCATGACCTGACATCAGTTAGAGAACCATTGGAAAACCAGCTGGGAGTACTGGACAACTGTTTCGTCCCACCTAGTTTGGGACCCTTTATCAGTACTCACCCACCGGGGATCGAATCCGAAACCTTCTGGTCACAAGGCGACCTCGTAGACCATTGAGCCACTGTGACCCGATTCAATGGTCCTTCTGCCAATTCACAACATAGCGCGACCATTTCGAAATGTCTTCTTCGATGAGTTACTGCCTCATCTTCAACCTGCTGTACCCTACTGGTCACGGCTTCCCACTATAATAATTCATTTTCAATTTAGGCATTTTGTTAAAATGTCAAAGTTGTGTACAGCAGGTTGAAGATGAGGCAGTAACTCATCGAAGAAGACATTTCGAAATGGTCGCGCTATGTCGTGAATCGGGCCACAGTGGCTGAATGGTCTACGAGGTCGCCTTGTAACCAGAAGGTTCCGGGTTCGATCCCCGGTGGGTGAATACTGATAAAGAGTCCCAAACTAGGTGGGACGAAACAGTTGTCCAGTACTCCCAGCTGGTTTTCCAATGGTTCTCTAACTGATGTCAGGTCATGATGAAATCCTCCATGCAATCATTCTTAAATCCTTTTTTTCTCACTTTGTTTAATTTAATTGCCCTTAATTTTTTGATATATATCGACTTGACAAGTAAATGTGTGCGGGATTAGATTGTTCGAAATGTATAGAGCAAATACATCACATCACATTTTTCAGATAATCTCTGTCTTCTAATAAAGCTATCCAAATTTATATAAAAGCGACCAATTGTTTTAAACAAATATTATCGATGGATTCTCTTTATTGAAGGAAATTAAGCATCCAATAGCTACAAAAATAAACAAACAAACATAATTTGCAGTTGCACTTCATCACAAACTGATAATCATTAAAACCTAGGGAAGTTTGTGGACAGAGCAGTTTGAAACTCTTTCATAGACAGCTTTCAATCACCCCCAACCGAGGGATAAACTCAAGATAGCCTAGCTTTTCAAGGATTCTCTACATGATATCCGGTTTGTGATGACAAACTGATTAGAAGTCATTAAAATCTCGGTAAAACTAACATTTGAAAAATATAATTTACTTTTTTTTTACGAGTTGGTCACGGATTGATATCAGTTAGAGAACCATTGAAAACCAGGGAGTACTGGACAGCTGTCTTATCCTACAGGATGGAGTTTCCTGGAGTTCTAGTGAGACCAGTGAGGTCCAATTAGATGTCACGTGTGTGGATGGATATCCCACCAACGACAATGGTTGGGGACGCGCTAAATCACGAATTCATGGATAATCCCTATCCAGGCATTAATGAAAACAAAACACATAGATCAAACTATTCATATTATTACACAACTTCTTTTAACAATTGTTTGTGACCACTCATCACCTTTGTTACTACCCTAGTTTCATTAACACCTAATTTTCTTGACTTGTATTACCAATCTTCATCTGTTTAGTTACAATAACCTTAACCAATTGTAATTTTGTTTGACAAACTTAATGTATACATACGTACATACAAAATATCACATATATATTTGCGATTGTACAGCTAAGGAAATGAATTCACCGAAAAGAGACTCTTCACTGATCTACATTTTTTGTTTTATTAAATCACTAATCGGTAGAAGTTAGAATTCACGAGCCATTGAAACGGGTCCCAGTGACTGGATGGTATACGAGCCAGCTTGCCTTGCAACCGGAAGGTCCTGGGTTCGAATCCCAGTGGGTGCGTACTGACGATGATTCCCAAACTAGTCGGGATAAACAGCTGTCTAGTACTCCAGTGGTGGTTTTCAATGGTTCTCTAACTGATATCAATCCGTGATCAACTCGTAAAAACATAATTAACCCTTACAAACTAAACTATAGAAAATATAATTTATAGACAAAAGCTGATGAAAGTGAGTATCATACACAAATACTTGGAGAATAGACCAATGTCAGAGAGCCAAGTATGCTGTGATACAGCTTTATATGTAAATCAACTTATGACGTTTGTATAATATGAGATAATTAATGATGACGTTTTTTGGTTCTATGGGGGACCTACTTTGTTCTCGTTTAAAACTCTATCTAGCCTTATATACTCATGATCTCGTGGTAAAAAGAAACGGTTCCTAGCTCGATCTCACTAATATGGTTATGAATATGAACCACTGAAGTATTCCGAACTAAGAAAACTATTTTCAGCTTTCAAGTGTTGGTGTGTAAGGATTTGGCAACGAATTAAGTTCAGTCAGAGAACCAGTGGAAACCAGCAGGGAGTAATGGACAGCTCTCTTATCCTAGTTTGAGTATGCACTCATGACCACATCAGGGATCGAACCCAGGACTTTCAGGTTAGAAGGCGAGATCGCAGAAGATTCAGACGCGGAGACGGATTCCAATGTCTGGTCTATGCATTCGAATCTCTGTCAATTTGCGATATAGTTTGACCGCCAGCTAGTGTCATCGGTCAGTATCTGCCCTCAAGCCTGCTGATCACGGATTCCCATTAAAACTTCAGAAAACTTGATCCTATAGTGAGTCATCGGTGAGTACTAGTTTAATTTTTAAGAGTTGGCGTGTGCAGGAATTCATTTGACTTCTATTTCGACTACTAACTGACTTCAGTTAGGGGACCGTTTGAAAACCAACAGGGAGTCTGGACAGACAGCTGCTCCGTCCTTGCCCAATACTCTTCAGCACTACCCACTAATGAAAAATCCCACACCCACCAATAGTGAAATAATTTCAAAAGTAATAGAGGGGGAAAGAGAGAAGGAGAGAGAGAGAGAGCGAAAGTACTTAGTTACACATACCTCGTGCATATAACTTCTTCATGTATACTTTGTTGACATCGTTGACATTCAGTCCATAATGAAGCAAATTTCTGTTCTAATGTATTCAATTGGACAATTTCTTTTTGATATATTTCTGATGCACGTGGTTCACAGAATTTACATAAAGCAGAGTCTAGCGATGTAGAAAAGTGTGTTCAAACACAAAGAGAACATTTAATGCATACATATCTTATATAAGAGGAAGAATATACGACAAGCTGCATATCAATTGTAGGAAATATACACATAATTCTTCTACTTAATGTGGATTCTGACAGCCTCAGAAATATGTAACAGAAAAGCTCTTAAGGTAAAATTAAGATTGATCTGTATACAGTAGATAACTTTGAGAGCCATGTTAACATCTATCTTGTGTTCTGTATCTACAAGATGAGACAGAACAGAACTATGAATGGACTTTGTTTGTCTCTTGCTTGATCACGCAGGATAGTGTTCAGAAGTCTGATGATAAACACGCCTGATTGTACACCCTGTGTAACTAACTGGCTGTACAGGAGCAGTCAAATTGATAGATACATATAGAAGAGATATAGTTGGGTAGTCTACTCTTTTACTCCCTAAAGTAAACTAGGGGTGGTTGTCAAGAGACAGATTACTTTAGCGGGATTGAATACCCTTTTTTTCAACATTCCCTTAGACATTGTCTTTTTACTTTACTGGTGTGTTATTAGCAAGGAAATGAAGTCGTAAGGACAAGAAATTTTTCGGAACTGTTGGTACTTTGGCTTTTCTCTGACTTTAGATTCATATTCTTATCGATGAATTTTTTCTGGGTAACCATTTTCACTCGGTAATTGTTTAATAACTTCGGTAGCCTGGAATTTTAATGATACATATTTGAAAAAATTCCTTTTATTAATACAATAATGTGTTGTATTTATGCAATTGTAGAGTTTAAGAGTGATACCGCAGAAAAGAGTAAGACTTCATTGTTGTTAGATGGATGGAAGCAATCGATAAGAATCTCTGGACCTGGGTTTCATGCTTGTTGACACTCGTCAGAAATGTAGAGTGTTTAGGTAAGGAGTAGAAGTCAATCATAGAAGTTGTGAAACTACATCAACTGAGATGACTAGGGTACGTTTTGCGTGTGCCAAGCCACCGTCTTTTCGACAGTCAATGTTAGCTGGCATAAGGTTGAGTTAGAAAAGAGTTAAGGGTGATTAAACCAAAACATGCTATCGACTCATTAAGTCTGATATAGTTGGTCTGAGTTAACCACGTAGGTGGGTATAGACTGCCTGGTTGGAGTCCTTTGGTTGCTGACATTCAAAGACTTGAGACTGTTGGTGAAATAGTTCAAAATCGCTTTCCATAGCGCAGATAATTCGCTCTTTGTGATCTCTATATGCGTAGCATGAAACTTTCTGCTCGTAGTAGCTCTTTTGAATTTCTTTTTCTACTTTTCTGTATCCCATGAAGTGTGGCTACTTGAAGTGATGCACTTCTGTGCAAGGTTCTATGTTGGAACTCAGCAAACAAGTGTGTTCATAACACAGTGCACTCCAATGGTGAGTCACCTGGCTTATTGCTGGCCACATCGGAAACTTGAATGATAGAATTCAGCCTACAAGAACAACAAGGACTACACACACACACACACACACACATTACTCAATTACCCAGTACTGAGCTATTTTTTATTCCTCCGAGTTCCCAGTGGAACCATAGGGCTCTAAGCTAGAGGATCGAAGCTTCTGTAGCAGTGGTGTTTATTTTTACAGGATGGGGTTGCTAGCCTCATGCACAACCTTTCCTCTTTACTAGCTTATTTTATTTTTTTATTATTGGCTTAGCAAGGTGAAGGAGTGGGTCGGAACCGGATCATGTAAATGGTCGGCGAGCGTCCTAACCACTGTGCCACCGAGACACTGAGCTATCAGCTACACTTTATCGCATAGATACTGAGGATGCTACCCAGCTGAAGTTGGTGGAGAAGGACTTGAAACCCATGACACAATATATACATAAACACCTATGGTCATCTTACCTGCTTTGTCAGTTGGCAATGGTGTTCGACAGCCAATACACGTTGCACGTACTTTTGTAAAAGCTGATAACTGTCCAACAGTGGAATGTACAACAGCTTTAACGCGTGTATGTTCACCGTCTAAAAAGGAAACAACACATGGAGAGTTTGTCAACAGTAAACAAAAAAATAGAAATGTGACTAGGGTAGCAAAACAATCATAAATTTAACTTTGAAAAACAAAAAATCAAATGGTTAGCTAAGATTGGCTATTCTCTTAAATGATATAATCTCACAGTGAAAAAAAAACAATACCTCTATAGCCTACAAATAAGTGAATTCGTGCAAGGATAGTAGGTGTGAAGGTATCAAAGTAAGACAGACTTTCATTACTCTGAAACCAGTATAGAAATCTGCTGTACTCAAGCGCTTAAGGAACAATACCCGAATATTCAAGAATAATGCTAAGTCATTCAGTACGCTTCGATATGATTGAGAGACTTGACGAATTATGTCACAAAAATTATTTGCAACCGGCTACTGTAAGCTAATTTCATCAACAACTACCACTGCTAGCTAGCTAGATGCTGAAGATCAGATGGCTGAGAGAAAAGGATAAGCAATAAAGAAATCTGATTGATAACGAACCAACCAACAACCTATCCCATAAGAAAAAATATCCAGAAGGGAATGCAGATGGACTGGATATATGTGGTGAACACCACTGAGTGACATTACGGAACAGTAGGCCCTCAAGTGTGAGCTTCTCAACGAGAGACGACTGACGAGTTGGGCAAGGGTCTGAGTGTGAAATGGAGATCGTGTAAAGAGGAAATGAAAACACCTATGGGCAATCATGAATCCAGATGAAAAAAAGAATGTAGACAAAGCAGTAAAATGGAGGTGAGCTACTGAAGCCTTATATTCCACTAAGAATACAAGGGAATGATACTACAGTATAATAATAACAGCAGTCGATGGCTTTCCATTATCCATTAAAGTGTGATAACTCTGATATATATGCCACAAGAAAAGCTCCGAAACCGATTTTATCCCTCCTGGAACTGTAGACGAAGGATTTATATATAACACCCTCATACATTTTTCTAAATGACTTCAAATGTGCCCTAGCTAACATGAGTGGACACCAGCAACATATGCTTATTAGTACTATGTGTCGTGTTCTTAGGCTGCGTGTTTTTTTTCCAGGTAGAATACTGCATAGCGACGGGAGAAGTTTGACCAAATCCATCTCTTCCACTCATCTAAGTTGGGATCGTTTCAACTGTAAGTGACATAGAAATAAGGATAACATCAGCAGAATCGGAAAAACACAAGGTGGATCTTCATTGGAATCAGTGTCCAAATCTACTGCACTCAGTATAAGGAACAAGACACGGATATTCAACATCAATGTCATGTCAGTCAGTGCTTCCTTATGGTTAAGAGCACTTCCAAAGACTGATGCAGAATTGCACCAACGGTTGTCTTTGCTCTATAGTGAAGATCAGATGGCTGGCCAGACAGAATAAGAACCAGCTAATAAATATTCGGAAGTAAATTTCGATTAACTGGACATACACTAAGGAGACCGATGAATGACATCACACATACTAAACAGACCCTTGAGTGGAACTTGAATGGGAAACAACGAGTTGGGCGCTGGTCTGAGGGAGAATGAAAGAGATCGTGTGAAGAGGCAATCAAAGCTTATGGGTAATTGTGGAGTCGGCTGAAAAAGACTGCAGAGAAGGCAGTGAGATGGACATGAGCTGCCAGAGTCCTTTGTATTAGATGGTTGGTGACAATCGGCAGGCAGCCGTGAACCTAAATTGTGTGCTTTTTGGCACCCATCAGCAGTGTGTATCTGAAACCTAGAAGGAACTCATGTATGTCCCTTCTAAGATTCGAACCCGCATCACCCAGTGCTGCAGTCAGAGACAGAAGGGACATGAGTTCCTTCGAGGTTGCAGATACGCCTTGCTGACTGGTGATTGTCAACTAGCACGAAACCTAGGTCAGGCAAGGTTTCCTGCCGATTGCCTCCAACCATCTAATACAATACTAACAATTGCCAGTGCACCGTGATGGCGAGCCACCTAGTATGGTGGCCACATTGCAAGCTTGACTGATAGAACTCAGTCTGCACCGAAGATAGGACTGGACACATTACACTAGTGACTGACTAGTGTCCAATCAAAAATAGAGTCCTGTGTTTCACACGGAATAATAATAATCATAAAAGTGAGTTGGTTGAGTGAAGGACAAAATAAATTCAGCTATTAGGAAGTTTAATTACAATCAGTAATAAAATAAAATAAACCATTGAATTGTATTGAATTTCAACTTACTTAACAATACAGACTTGGCTTTAGTTTCACCTAATATAGGCTCAAATATACGTAGTAATGGATTAGCTAATTGATTCTCTAAATAGTATTTTGTATCAATCGGGATATTATGCTCTAATACATAGAGTGGATCTTCAGCTTTTGCATAGGCTGCTGTATTTTTCCCACCGACAGCTGTTATCACATATGGGACACGATCACCGAGATTCGGTGCTGAACCAGCATCACGTTTACGCATTTTTGTGGCTAATTCTACATGAGCTTGTTTACCGGAGTATTCTTCATCCGTCTTTGTTAATTCTTTACTAATCACTAGCTGTGAGATATCGATACGATTGCATAATAAATCGGATATAATTGATTGAGCATAGGTAATTGCTGCATTCGGATCACTGAAATGCAATAGAAAACGGGGGGGGGTGAGTAGAAAGGGGGTGAAGTATAGATATTAGATCATTATAAATTGTAACAGAGTGATAAACACTTGTAACTTAAATTCTTGAAACTCTGATTGTCAGACTATTGTCCAAACATGAGTCTTTACGAAGGACTCACTTACATTAAGAATTACAAATCAAAAGTTAAAATGTAGCAACATGTTCACTATACTAGGAAGGTAAATTCAAGTACACAATTAGGAATACGTTGAATTGGCGTAAAAATTAGCCAATTAATGCTGAAAATAAAAGACAGGTAAATTCACATTAAGAAATCCCTGTTAAGGTCAACTCAATCAAGTTACAGAAACTTTAAAGGATAGAGAAGATAAATCTATCCTATGCTGAAACCGGAAAGACTACTCAGTTCGAAGATGGATAATGCTGGTTGGTGAAAGTCTCCTGAAAGTCAGTTGGCCGATTTGCCTTCATCGAATTAAAGAAAAAGTAAGTGTAAGGACATAGAAGGTTCTCATAACATTTGAGGTTGGGCAAGGCTGTTCAGATTGCTTAAGAAATAAGACCTTTCGTTCCACTCAGAAAAAAGGGAACGAATAATCCTGTTAGGATTAAACAAGGTGGGATATTTCCTTGGATTTCACCTATTTATGAATCAATGTAGGACTACGCGCATACAAGCCTGCGCAGTGAATGTGTACCGAGGACATTTAGAATTTGCAGGATGAAAAGGAGTGAATGCATCTCCAAGCACTAGTTTTTCAACATCATGGAAATTATATAAACCAATGGGGGTGGGGTGGGGGATATTTCAGTAGCCCTTCTAGCATCCAGCTTATCAATAATAACGTCCACAAAACCAATCAACAATACAACAACCTTATTTTTTCAAGAAGGTGCACTGGAAAAAACGCTTACATTAATATGTAGGAAGGTATGCTGATGAAAAAATAAAGTTTTCGGGGTACAACGAAACTATCAGAACATTACATGTCACTTTGATAGGGGACTAACTAGTGCCATGCGTCTAGTTCCTTTGTTTGCTACAGACTAAGAATTCTATCCGTCAAGTTTGCAATATGGCTCGCTCAGCAGGGTGTACTCATAACTGTTGTCATTATATGGTTGGAGAGAGTAGATAGGAAGCCTTGAATTTGGGTTTCGTGCTTGTTGTCACTCACCAGAATGACGTATCAGCAGTCTTGAAGGAAGTCATGTCCTATCTGAGATTCAATGGTAACGTCTTTAACTGTAGCGATGGGTGACACGATGACAGACATGTACATTACACAAGTAACTGAAAAGAATCCGACGAAATAAATGATAGCCTTATATTATGCTGTACAAACATTTGTTTTTACTTTGTTTAAATTCATAGCCGGGAATAAATGTATCAAAAAATTGCCTCCCGTCTGTACTGTAGTTTATTTTAATTTCCCCAACAGTCAACAATACAGTTCTTTATTTATTTGAGTTTCAAAATCTTCATCCGCTGTAATAGTAATAATAATAATAATAACAGCTTCATTCTAAGCATGTATACATACTCAGTAAGGAATTTTCAGCTTCATTTTATCTATTCCATAACCAGAATCTCCAAGTAGGACAGTAGTCTGCAGCAATAATATTTTCAAGTATTGGTTTTGTAGGGATTTTGTTTGATTGCATGGAGAATTTCATCATGAGCAGACACCAGTTAGATAACCGCCGGAAAACATGGGAGTACTGGACAGCTGTTTCGTCCCAGTTTGGGACTCTCCAGCAGTAATCACCCACCGGAATTCGAACCCAGGACCTCTTGGTTACACGGCGAGCTCGTAGACCATTGAGCCACTGGGACCCCTCCCTCCCAATGCTCCTTGAATTCTAACTTCTGCCAATTCACGACATAGCGCGACCATTTCGCAAATTGTCCTCTTGGATAAGTTACTGCCTCATCTTTAACCTGCTGTACCCTACTGCTTTCCAGTAGTCCCAGGTTTTCCAGTGGTTCTCTAACTGATGTCAGCTCATGATGAAATCCTCCATGCAATCATACAGTAATAATACTCCATGAAAATTTATTCCATCTGCAATGTTTCCACCACCGACGTATTTATCCTCTTTAAGACAATAGAGACCAAGTAGTCTGTTAAAAGCCACTCAGAGACGCAAGTGAGCATAGATTGTTCTCCATAACGGTAAATAGGTATTTCAGTCAAAGCATAACTACTGAGTTAACTAAAGGAATTGTGCTCCACAGAAAATTAGATAGCTACGTTTAGTAACTACACAGTGGTTGTTACATGTGTTTATCTTTTATCTACTTGTTATACAACGCAGTAGAAGTAGCACTAATATTACAGTAAAAGGCGAAAAGGAGAAAAAAAAGGCAGCTGAACACTAATTTCACTTTCATCTCTTTCTCTAGCCAACAAAACAATGTTTAAAGTCAACACTTACCGATCAATTAGTATCTTTTCCAAGCATGCATTTATCAGATTAGCTACCAATGGACTATTATCACGTCGTACAGTTTCAATGCCTTTACAATCCATTTTATCATGACGATCTGGTTTAGTGAAATATAAGCCAGCATAACGTTTCTTATTGATGAGTAAATACGGGAAATATACCTGAAATGCAGGAGAAAAAGCAAAGATAAGAGTAAAGGCAAAGGTTAGGTTAAAGTGAAATTATGTTGTTAAAAGGGAAGAATATTATATCCATAGATTATTAAGCATTGATCAGACGGTACATCGGTGATTATTCAATGGTAGAATGTTTGTAAACCACCCACGTGTTCTGGATTCAATTCCCAGATGACCTGCTCTTAAACTTCGATTAGCCGGTGGTAAGCTCTGAAAAACACGAAAGATTAAACCTCAGACTAGCAATCTCACCCTGTAGAAATAATACCATCGTTACTGGAACTTCAGAGGTCAAGCTTGAAGCCTTATGTTCCACTTAGAAAGCATAAGATACATGCAGTTATGTTACTGATATAAGTATAAAACTTGGGCACTGTGGTAGAGTATAACTCCATTATGGATAAGATTTTATTTTGATAAATCACACAGTGTTATAGTCATATTAACTGACGACGTTTCAAGCACAAATTATTGCTTATAATCAAAGCAAGGCACTCACTCACACAAATTTTTCCCTTCATTTATATACATATGTGGAATTCACTAGATATCTGAATAAAAATCAATATAGGATAATGTACATTTAGAAATAATAAGATGAGTGTTATTGGTCAATTACAATCAGATGGGAAATAAGACGAGTGTTTTTAAAGTCATACTAAGTGAGCAACTTGTTAGAATGTTGTGATGTGCTTGAATTGAAATAGAATTTTGAGATTATTTATTATCCTCCTCTGGTTTGACTGACTGGGGGTAATAATATCTTCCATATTTGCATTGAGTCATTTCTGTTGCATGTGTTGTGTAGACTCGCAGAACCAGGATTCAGTAATCAATCTCCCTCTCCACCTACATAGATTACTTCTTAGAATCTTAACCCTCTTCCACCCTATTGTGTGGTTGTGTGTCCATGAATGTAATGCAATTGCTGAGGTTTTTTTTTTATAAATAACCCATCTTCTCGGGGTCAACCATTCTTATCTTAGTTAAATTCTTATGTTCCGACAACCTGATTACTCCCGATCTATATATAGTTGACCTCACAGTCATTGCAAGGTATTTTGTAAATTATATTTTTTTGTTTAATTAGGTCCACCGGGTCTTTTAGCCCACAGAGCTTGTCTCTGAGTGAGTTTGTGGGTTTGAATGCCACTCTAATTCCTGCTTTATTAAGAACCCTACGTAGGGTCTCAGATGTCCCCTCCTTATATGGTATAACAGTGGATGACTTATATTCTCTCTTATTTATGTTATCATTACTAGTTTCACAATTATTTTTAATTTGCTTTTGGCCTTTTTCGATCTTTCTAATGAATTTTATAGGATAGTTATTTAACACCAACACCTCTTCTATCTATTTTATTTGTTCATTTAGGTCTTTTCTTGTCCTACTTAGTGCTATGGCTCGGTTTGTTAGACACTTCACTAAGCCTGCCTTAACATTTAACGGATGAGACGAATTAAAGTCTAAATATATATTAGAATGCGTCTAAATATTACACACACCAGAGAACACCGTGTATTTCTTCAACCCTCATACTATAAGCTGTGAAACATTTAATTCAAGAATCAACTTTTCAGCAGTGCATCGTTGCTTTCAATCCCACTCCACCTATTGAAATATTATAAACACTAAGAACAGTATTCCTAGTTTGAACAGACATGTATTTCTTGCTTTCAATAGAGAGAGATTTGTCCATGGTCTACTTGTTTATTACCACTGCTATTACATAACAAAGTATGACGTCAAGACCGTATGTAAAATGAATGACATCAATTAGATTTTTAAAAATCTCAATTGGTTACACCTAGATCGAATGTAAATAATACAAATGGTATAAAAAACACTTTGTACGGCTAGTTGCATTCATCCCTGAGACTATAATGATTCAAAAGTTATCTTGGGAAAATAGAAGGTATTACTTCTTTCTGTAAATTACGTAAAACCATAGCAAAACTTGATAGATATCTCTGAGATTTGTTTGTATTCTCACATTTACAGAGGTATTGAACAAACTCAATTTTTGTACTGACTTTAATTTAATTTATGCTACGGGAATATCTGATACTCTTAAAACTCATCAGTGTCTTATTGCACGCTACAACGCAGCATGAAAAGAAAAAGCTTTTGTATCTGTCACAAAGTATCAGTTGGTTAGAATCCCATTGTCAGAGACAGATTTACCACATGGTACAATCTCCTCAGGTACTTAGACAGTAGTGGGTGAATTATGTCAAGTTAAGGTTTATGTCAGATACGTGAATCTGATGGATGCTGTTATCAGGATGTTTCACCTCAAGTCTTTTCACACTGTCCATCTAAGTATTTCATATTACAAGGATCCCAGATGTCCAGAACAGATTTCTTATATGCTGGATTACGAGGCCCACTTATTTTATGTGTGGGAGGGGGCGTTGATGATACTACGCATTTGTCTAGAATGAGACGGGATTTTAACCCAGAACCAGAATCCGTTTGGAAGCCAAGAGTTTAAACCGACCAACTAACTACACAATCAGCCTAAAAATATATATCATGCCGATATATACACTAGAATTGCTCGTTGACAATGAATGCAAAAATGGTATGAGAAATATAGAATCATCATTTATTTTCCCAATAAGCATTATCTCGAACTATTTACATCCTATTTTACTATTATTTACCTGTTACAATTGTTGTAATAAGGAAAAGGAAAAACTATTAAATCCAATTTACTGCCTACAATTTACAAAGTTCCAGGTGAAATTTTATCCTGGTTTCCTCTGGAAACTGAAACTACTGAGATCATAGTATGAGATTTAGCATATTACCAGAGTTCATCGAAGTAGCCAGTCAGAATATGGGTGGCTTGAACTGATTCAGGTGTCTGAGTGAAGCCGAACTGCGTGTTAATCACGATATATAGATAGATAGACAAACATTATGGCAATCCGTCGTGTCTGTCTTAGTGTAAACTCCCGCAACTCAAGGTAGACCTTGTATGATTGTTGTATTCTATCCTCTTGTATGTGAATGCAATTCATTGACCACTTTGTTCTACAAGTCAATACCAAAATGTCTACTTTGGTCCTTTCTTCAATGACAGTTGTCTTTGTATTGTTACCCGTGTGTGACTGTATTATTTCCTTTATATTTCACAAACAGATCAACTTGATGCTTAGTCACCTGAGTTATAACTATAACAAACCCAGACTCTGTGTTGTCAGTATTGATAGTGAGAACGAAGATATGGTGGGGGGAGGGGAGGGCAAATTTTGTCTTACACTGGGTACACCATTGATGAGCTAAACTCCAAACAAGTGAAACGGCCATCAATCCGGTGGATTAGATCACCTCGATTTGGCTAGTAAGTACTACTGTGTGGCGGGATACTGCTAAAGTTCATTAGTAGTATATAGAGAGACGTTCAACGGCATGAAAATATCCAATGGAGGAGAGATAGATTTGATGTCAAGGAGAGCAAATAGTTCAGCATTGCGGCAAAACATAGGTGACATGAAAAGAAGACAAAGACACACAATAAGAAAGGTAGGAGTGGCACAACACGGAAGATCTGTGCATTAAATATCTATTCGGAGATAAGGTGTACACAATTTCGCTACATAGAGGTACCGAATTCCTAATAGACATTCTTTTACCAAATCTCTTGTCTTCTAACATTACACTACTCATTCATGTATCAGTAATATATAATAGTATCATACATTTATAAAAGAGAAATGGGATAAAAGATAAAGTAACCCTAACCTTTTCAAATTCTAATCGAATAGGATTCGGAAATTCTTCAGAGATAACTTCAGCAGCTTTACGACCAAGTTCCATAGCATCAGCAACTGTTGATACACCAAATTTACACATAACAGAATCTGTATCACCATAAATAACCTTTAAAATCAAGAGATAACAAAAAAAGAGGTGAGAAAATTCCACGATGAATTATTATTGCAAACTATACAGAAGGAAGCAGCACAAAAAACTGAATATATATTTCAAATAAATTCAGTGAATAGAAGGACAGAAGAAAGATGAGTTGAAAGTCGAGTTACATACAGACCAATTTTTTTCCTTCACGTTCCACAATGGAACATAGTGGCTTGAAGTTCCTGTAGCAGTGTTTAATTTTACAGGATGGGGTTGCTAGCTCCATACCCAACCTTTTCTCTTCACCAGTATTATTAAGGGCTTAGCAAGGTAGAGGAGTGCATCGGCCGGAGATCGAACCCCGGATCATGTGCATGGTCGGCGAGCGTCCTAACCGCTGTGCCACCGACGCACAGACTGATAGATCGACTTTGGTACCATTACATACCAAAGATCACTGCAGAGAAACAGGGAAGACAAAAAGAAATGTGAAGGTGTGAAGACCTGTTTCATCTACTTTCGATGCTTTTTTCAGCATTTATCACCAAGGTGTATTTCTAAACGTAAGCAATATACACGTTTCCATTTCGGTATGACTGTCTGTCTGTTTTCGACATAGAACTTTGCACAAATGTGCACCAGTTCAAGTCGCCACACTCCCTTCTTGTAGCACACAAAGCAACAGAAGAAAGTACAAGAAATGCATATTAGAGACAGTAAACAGAGATGTGAGACAAAGGAATAATAATAACGAAGAACAAAACATTTTCATTGGAATTCATAGGTCACAACGAGTGGATGCATCTCCGCCAGCCATTGAGAACGATCACTTTGAGCCATATCATCAACTGTTTCCAACCATTGGTTTTTTACCGTCCCAAGGACCCCAACCAGGAAGTCTACAACTTCCTACGTGGCTTAGACTAACTGTTGTGGATTTCATTAACTGATGAAGTCATGTTCTGGTTTGACCTCTGCTAGCTCTTTTCCAGTCTGACCCTATATCCGCTAACATAGCCCGTCTAAGAAGGCGATGACTAGGTATACAAGCGTAACACATGTCCTAACCATCTCAGTCGGTGTAATTTCACAGCCTCGTCGATTGATTTCCCCTCCTTACCTAGAACTCGACCAACGCCTAACCTCAATATTGCTCACCTTATTATACCACTTCACACGGGAGATAGAACGCAGGCACCTATGATCAAAGACAGCTAATCTTTTGATGTCTTCCACTCTCAGTGGCCAGGTCGCACAGCTGGCCATAAAGGAGGACAGAGCGAACTACTGAACAGTACACATTTCCTTTGGGCGACAGCTAACCAGATATCACGTGTATGCTAGAGATGGCGTAATTTAGCAGGTATATCCCAAACGAGCCTCCTATTTCCGTGCTGAGATTTCGTCAGCGATCAACCCATTGGCATTGGCTGACGCAACTTCCCAAATACGTGAAGCGGTCAACGTGCTCTACCACTTCACTCCCCATTTCTAAGCTAAGGATCAGTGTAGTGCAGTCCTGTACCATCATCTTACATTTGACATAGGGAGCGAATCGCATGCGAAACATTTGTAGATTGCAGCTCAAGGTGTTCAGAAGACTCTGCATTTTGTCAGCGTCCTCGCCTAGAAGGAATATATCATTGGCATATTCTAAGTCAACGAAATTATTCCCTGGTAGCAAGTCAATTCCTGAGTCACTGAAGTGAGTTAGGGTTAAGTCCATTAGTACATCTAATGGACTAGTATGTATGTATGACTGGTGAGAGCAGGCTGCTAGCCAAATTGGTAAACAATTATTTACGTCAATGTTTGTGTCGCAAATATTGGTCGTGAGAAAATATGAACAAGACTGATTCAACAACCAATCAAAGCAGACTTGGCGTAGGCTGATACAGCTAACATATAGATGACCTGACATTCAAGAAACAGTTACAAAGAGATGCAAGGTCAACTTTCTGTGAGAAACAACCAACCAGAAGACTGTGTTTGTTTGCTTGAATAAGCTATAATAATGCACATGAAAATATATAAATACGTGTTGATTTCCTTAATAAACGATCTGTTGCCTGGCCCTTGTCTTCTGTTGTTACATGACTGGTTCATATAAGTAAATAGTGTTGTATCACTTAGGACAGTCATCACAATGTACAGTTGAGCAGTTGATATTGACCTGTAAATTAGGGCTAAAAACAGTCACTCTGATCAAAGTATGACAACTAATTTTTGTATAGATGTAAATAACAGATGGGGATTATTGTCAGTATTCGAAAACTCAAAGATGTCACAGTGAAGGAATTCCAACCATTTCGCAAAGTTTTCTCTCCTTTTCTGATTCACATTTATAAGCATAGAGATGAAAGTATGCGAGAATAAGGAATATAAGTAGAAAAATTCTAGGACTTGCCTACTTTCCAAGGCATAAAAGTAAATTTAATCAAATTATTTCGGTAAATATGAAAAATAAGTAAATATATAAATAATGGTTTAATTATCCCAAATAACTAAATTCTACTGAATCTTTGAACAAACCATAATGATTGATAGAGGTTAATTGGCGGATGGTGACTAGCATTTCGCAATACCTAGGACTCGTCATCTGCATGTACCTGCATTCCGCAGTGAGTGATGTTGTTCCCATCGAGGCTCGATGATTGATACTTGTGAATGACGTGTCAAAATTTTAATTTTTACTTGTTTAAAGTTTCTTTTCCCAGATTTTCAAATTATATTGAAATACTACCATAAACAACCTGGTACGACCAAGAGTGATTAGACTCCGATTTGTCGACGGGTTCATAACCTCTGTCAGGTGGGTACTATTCATTACCTTCACGGTGCGGAGTGTTTCTCACAAAATTGAAAGAGAAAATCCGAACGCCTTACTCTTACATCCGGACTGGAGGACATGTGGGACTATACCTAGGGGAGCTGGACAACCGAGGTTCCAAAAAATATGGTGAACATGGGGTCCAGAATCCACATGGCTCTACCCATTTTGATCATCGACAACCATGAGAGAACACAGATTCTGACACTGCTCTACAGCCTTGTTGATCGGACTTCACGTCGAAGGCTCAGTCTATATGTCCGGGCAGTTATTTCAGCCCTCACGCAAACTATAAGATGTTGTGCGGCCCATCTCTTGGAGCCGAAAATATGTCTCGTTTGTATTTTAATAAATGACTATAATAAAATGGAAAAACTCGGCTGTGTCGAATTGACCACCGGAATTTGTTGTCTGAGACTCATGATGATATCAATCAGAAATGACTACAGTAATGTAGATTTGAAAATACATCAAGTTTATTGTAGTAGAAATGTCGCATTTCATTGTTGAATTTACTCTTCATGAATCTTAAGGCGTAAACTGGTAGTAATTACTAGCCAGTTGTTGTTGATGGTCCAAGCACTGAACGGTTGTCCCACTGACTTAGAACAAAGCCAATCAAATATGTGATCTGCTTGACATCATAAGAAGCATCAAGAAAGCAATTCACATTGCACGGTGGTATATACCACTGATTGGTGTGAGTGGTTGGAGACCAATTAATTTTTATAATATCACTTCGATCTCTGAAAGATGTCTTATTACACTTTAGGAGCCGCTGCACTTATTTGGGAAATCGCATCAGCTCGAACAGCCTGGATGGTGACGAAATCTCAGTACAGAAACAAATGGCTCGTGTAGCATTCTCCAACAAACGTCATTTCTGTCGTGGAAGTGATATCAGGTTATCAATCAAAAGACGTGTATACTGCCCACCAGTTTGCTCTGTCCTTCTTAATAAATGTTAAACATGGCCATCGACAGTGGGAGATATGAAGAGGCTAGCTATCTTTCAATGCAGATGCTTGCATCTTATTTCCCGACGTTGGGTGGTAAAATATATTGAGTAATGTTGAGGTTAGGTGTAGATTGTTAGGTAACGAGAGAAAGTTAATCGGTTGAGATGGCTAGGAGACGTGTTACATATCCCAAGACATAGCTTTTTATTATGTACTCGTCGCCCAATTATTGTTATGTACTGGTCGAGAATTTAATAGTTCTGACGCAAGAAAGACGGAAATCAGAAGACCACTAGGTTTGCGATGATACTTCTATTTTCCAAAACACAAGGAGAATCAATATGTCACACAAGTATGTGAGAGCAAAATATATATGAATGTCCGAACAAGTGTGTGAACAAATCAATAGACAGTCTTAACATGATTGGCTAATTATAATGGAGTATCGATCCATATATACATAGCGAAATATAACAAACATGTCAACAAACACACATATTATATATAATATAAGGGGAATATACATTGTTAACGGAGACAGGTTCATCAAAGTGAAATGGTTACAGACTAAGAGAGCAACAGAAAGAGAGACCACCATACACACATATATATATATATATATATATATATATATATATATATATGGATACATATCACTTTTCTCGATGAGCAATGTTAGTCGACATAGAATTAGGTTGGTAAAGAGTTAGAGATAGTCAGATCAATTCATAAAGTATTCAACAGTTGTTTTGGGCCGGCTGGTTGAGGACGTCGGGAGGTTAAGATTCAATGGCCACAAACTGTCAGTGATACAGCTAAGCGTCTTTCTCAATAGAGAGGTGCATTCACTCTCTGCGATCTCACATGTTTTTCTGGGTAATTATTCTTCCTCTCATACATTTCTGCCTATTATAATCCTTTTGAATATCTTTTTTTCTTTCTTATCTATCTTCGTGTGCCACAAGGAGTATGGGAACTTGAACTGGTGCACTTCCATGGAAAGTTCTATGCTGAAACTCAGTCAATCAGGCAATGATAGTCAGGCTAGTGACACACAGACTGATTACCTGAAATCTGTGCTCATGATGAAATCCTGTAACCAGTCAATCAAATCCCTACAAACCAATACTTGAATATCGATGAGATGCTCACTGGGAACTGGTTCTAGTGGGAAGTCATGACCAGTAGGGTGCAGCAGCAGGTCGAATGTGAGGTCAGATACTCGCAGAAGACATTGGCTAGCGGTCACGCTATTTCGTGAATTGGCAGAATTTAGAATGTATGGGTCGTTGGATCGGGTCCCAATGGCTTAATGGTCTACGAGCTAGCTCACCTTGTAACCAGAAGGTCGTGGGTTCGAATCCCAGTGGGTGCGTACTAATGAAGAGTGCCAAGCTGGGATGAAACCACTGGCTGCCCAGAACTCCCTGCAGATTTTCCAATGGTTCTCTAACTGATGTCAGCTCATGATGAAATCCTGTAACCAATCAAACAAAATCCCTGCAAACCAATACTTGAATAATAGGTTATACATCTACCGATGGATTCTAAGTAAAAGTATCTTTAAAAAAGATATTGTCATTGAAGCAATTTATCAAACAAAAATAAACTCCAAAAAGAGAAACATTCATACTTACCACAGCATTGTGTGCATATCCGTTGGCTATTGAAAATTTCTGTTCAACATGCGTTTTAGTCTGTTCAATCATAAGGCGACCAAATGATGTCACTGAAGCGGATATTTCTAAACACGGCAATTTGCCAACTTGTGCACCAGTGAAACCATATACAGAATTAGCACTAATCTTTAATGCCAGCTGACGACCGTCTAAAACACGTTTACGCAGTGGATCAGTCTCTTTGGCAAGTTCTGCTTTGGCTCTATCGTTTTATTATTATTATGATTGTTATTATTCAGTTGGAATATGAAATAATTAAAAAAGACGTAATATGAAAATAATTTCATCTTTGGGTTTTTATACTACTTAATATCCTAATAGAAACGAAATGAGGAAGTTATAGGGATCATGTGATCAAATGAGGATTAAAATTCGGCTCACTTTTGTAGGTCTGAAAGGATTTAACTGATATCAAAGCACATTACATTATGAATTTATATTACCTAAAAGGCAAACAAGAACGATGGAGTACTGGACAGCAATTACGTCCTAATAATACACGATCACAGATTTCTAGGAAGAAATAGCTGTAGGTGAATTTCTAACTGGTATCGATTCGTGAAGTAATTTACCTCGAAGATGATGAATAATCCTTACTTACATAATATGTTATCATTTAGAGCATTATATATATATATATATATAAATTGAGTTGCCTCTACCTTTCGAGTTGACATGCTCGAAAAATCCATCTATATCTTGTGTTCTAAGTACAGTGAATGTGTCATCTACATACCTCCAACATACTTTTGGGGTGGGGGTGAACGTTTCAATAGCTATGTTTTCACACCTATCCATGAATATATCTGCTACAACCGGGGATATTAGTGGTTCCATTGCAACTCCCTCATTTTGTTTGTATATTTTCCCTTGGAATTTAAATACTGTGGAAGTCAGGAATAGCTGCACTCCAAGCATTATGTCCTCAAGTGGCACTTTTGTCCTAAGTTAGGGCTCTTGATTAGAAATGAGTTCGTTTCTGACTGCCTCTATAGCCATATTTATTGGTATACGTGTATATAAACTGACAATGTCCAAACTAACCATTTTTTCTTCATTATCTAATTTTAAATTATCTAATCTGTGTTTTAGTTCATAAGAATTAGTTAGTCAATTCGAAACAAGCTTTGTTGGTTAGAGGATCCTGCCAGTGAAGTCTTTAAAACAAAACAATTTAGTTTATCTAATACCCCACCTGCGATGATTGTCAGGTCAAATACATAGGTCAAACTAGTAGAGCAGGGACAGTCAGCCAGACTAGCTGAACATAAAAACTTAGCAAAATCTAGATTGGTTGACCCAAATAAGATAAGAAATCTAGAGAGTAGTTCAGCTATACCACTCATTACATGCAATTACACACAATCATACAATAGAATGATGGAATAGGATGACAGTTTTAAAATCTAATGTCACAGGGTATAGGGAGAGATTGATATTAGAAGCTTTGTTTATCGAATCAACTACAAATACATGTAATAGGAATGATTCAACACCTGTCCCAGATATCTGGAAAATTCTACTACCCCAACAACGACAAATAGGAGAAAAGAAAGAAAATTATAAAACTCAAGTTTCAAAGTCGTGTGATTATAATTGATGAAATGGTTATGAACGGCAATAAATTTTGTTCGAAACCTTGTCATCCAGTAAATAATACTGTTTCTGTTTCTGTGTGATACATCTAATAAACAAATTAATATGGAATTACCTACTACCATAGTGCCCAAGTTTCACACATATATATTAATATGCTTAGAAATAAAGTGAAAATAGTTTTCCAGAGTAAACTTCCATGTTTTGTGATTAAACTATGTCTCTAAAATGTATTGTACTGTGAGATTTCTAACTAAAAATCTAGATGATCTTCATAAGGGGAGATTTACTGACGTAAACAACCAATGGCTTTCAAGTGCTGGGTATTGCATCCGAATCTTCACCTACTGCATTCGGTCTGAGCTGAGAAATATTTTCGTTAGTTGATTTACACTAAGAGTAGCAGATAACAGGATGTATCCTGTCTGTCTGGATTCAACATAGAACTTGGCACCGAAGTGCAGCAGTTCGAGTTGCCACGTTCCAAATAGCACACAGAGGTAGACAAGAAGATGAGTGGAGAGAATTAATAGAGTTTGACAAATATAGGAGTGAAACAGAATGGGTAATGGTAGAAAGGAATATGAAAGATTACAGAGATTGAATACATCTGCGCCATTGACAACGATTTTGAGCCATGTCACCTATTGTCTCCAGCCATTGATTCCTAGAGTCCCGAGGGCCCCAACCCGGGAGTCTGCATCTCCCTACCTGACTCAGTTTAACTGTCAAGGATTTCATGGATTGATGCCATGTTTTTGTTTGGCCACCACTGGCTCTTTTCCAACCTGAACCTATATCAGCTAACAATGCCCGTCGGGGGAGGCGGTGGTTAGGCATGCGCAGCACGTGACCTAGCCATCTTAGTCTATGTAACTTTATAACCTCGTCGATTGATTTTCCCTCTTTGCCCAACACTCTACGCCTAACGTCAACATTACTTATCTTGTGAAACCACCTAACGTGAGACAGAGATCGCAGACATCTATGATCGAAAGCAGTCAACCTTTTCATGTCTTCAACGCGTATTGGCCATGTTTCAGAGCCATAGAGAAGGACGGAGCGAACTGATGAGCAGTACACACGTCCCTTGGTTGATAACCGGATGTCACGCCTACGCCAGAGATGGTGTAAGTCAGCGAAAGCAGCTCGAGCTTTTCGGATCCGTGCTGAGATTTCATCGCCAATCAGTCCGTTGGTGCTAATACAACTTCCCAAGTAGGTGAAGTGGTCAACATGTTCTATCACTTCACTCCCTATCACTAAGTTAGGGGTTGACGTCGTCCAGTCCTGTAGCAGCATCTTACATTTTGCAGGGGCGAATCGCATGCCAAACATACGAAGATTGCTGCTCAAGGTGTTCAGAAGACTCTGCATTTTGTCAGCATCCTCCCCTAACAGGACTATGTCATCTGCATATTCTAAGTCCATTAGATTATTCCCTGGTAACAAGTCGATTCCTAAGTCACTACGTTCAGTTAAGGATACTTCCATTAGCATATCTATGATGAAGTTAAACAGAAATGGGGAAAGTGGACATCCCTGTCGGACACCACTGGTTGTTACTAATTCAGATGACAATTCCCCATAAGCCCTTACACGACTACGTGAGTTTGAATAGAGTGCCTTGATTAGTGCAATGTACTTTCTTGGCACTCCCTTCACAGTCAGACATTGCCATAGTACCTTTCGGTCCACGGAGTCGAAGGCCGCCTTCAAGTCAAGAAATATGACAATTGTTGGACGCCGAAAAGTGTGTCTATGTTCTAGAATCTGTCGAAGAGTGAAGATATGATCTATGCACCCTCTACCTGGTCTAAAGCCTGCTTGATTTTCCCTTGTCTGTTCCTCCCGAGTTCTGCTTAGTCTATGCATGATTACTGAGCCTAGGATTTTAGAGACTATGTTCGTTAGGCTGATCCCCCTATGATTATCACACGAGGACTTGTTTCCCTTCTTGAATATCGGTATAATGAGTGACTTACCCCAGTCTGATGGTACTGTCTCTGATTCCCAGACTTTGCCTAGTACCTCAGTTAATCTACAAACTAGTATGTCACCCCCATATTTAAACACCTCCGGAATAATTCCGTCGGGTCCTGCCGCTTTGCCTCGTTTCAAATTACTGATAGCTTTTGTAACCTCACCTACAGACGGCGGACCAGTGTCTATATCCCATTCGGGTACGTGGTGGATGGCGGGGAGGTTCAGTGTGGCTGTAGGCAAGTTAAATTGTTCCTCAAAGTGTTCTTTCCAGCGTTCAAGGCGTCTATCCTGAGAGCTAATTAAGGAGCCATTTTTCTCAGAAATAGTCTCACTTATGAATTGCCTTCTCCCGCCCGATTCTGTGATGAGTCTAAAGAGTTGCCTAGTGTTGCCTATCGCCAATGCTTTTTCCATCTCTTTCGCCTTTGTCACCCACCACTGTTCACGGTCCTTGCGGAGACTTTTAGTAAGTTTCCTTTTGTGCAGCTTTCGCTCCTCATTGAATTCGGAGCTCGCCGGAATAAGTCTTCTAGCATCTATCAGTTCGGATGAGGCAGTCGAAATCCAGTGGTTTTTACTCACCTTTGGATTTGTCTTATTCACAGCTTTTACAGCTGTATCTATAGCTGACTGAATATTCTTCCAGGCTTCTCCAGGGTGAGCACAGCTGTCGGATTCAGATATGCGTTTAGCTAGTTCTTCCTCAAATAGGGATTTAGTTTCCTGATCGAGCTGGGGGCGTAATGGTTTTACCGCCAGCTGTTTCCTACGTCCGTTCAGTCGTAAGCACACACGAGCCCGGACCAGTGCGTGATCGGTATCTACACACGTGTTCCAGAAGGAGCGACAATCTCCTACCGACCCACGCCAACGATAGCTTATTGCTATGTGGTCTATTTGTGTCCAGCGTTGGTTTGATGATGGGGGTCGCCAGGTTAAACAGTGTCTCTCCTTGTGTTTAAAGTTAGTGCTTACAAGAAACAAATGATTATCTGAACAGAACTGTAGGAGACGGTCACCGTTGTCGGTTCGCTGGCACGGAACTCCATAGGTGCCACCGACATCCTTCTCAGATTGACACAATTTCCCTACTTGAGCGTTGAAGTCACCAGCTAGAACGACTATATCTGAGCGTTTAGCCTTTCTCACCAAACTAGACAGCTTTTGGTAGAACTCATCCTTCGTTTCATCCGAACTGCAGTCAGTGGGGGCGTAGGCGGAGATTACGAAAAGGCATCGGCGAGTAGTGCAGTCCTTTCTCCTTCTTACTGATCCGTTCAGACGGACAGCACACATTCGGCTATCTACTGGGATCCAGTCAAGCAATGTCTTTTCTGCCCTAGTACTCAGAGCTATCCCTACGCCAGCTAATCCCCGTGAACTAGCTGTGGCATCTCCTGACACCCTCAAGGTGAATTTTGAAGATTCATCCTGTTGGCCAGGTGGGGTTAGGTGAATAACCACACTTGGGTCTTGTATGCGTGTTTCTGAAACACAACATACATCAATGGCTCGAGATGCCAGGGTCTTAGCTAGTGATGCTTGTTGTCCTATTTGGCAAAGTGTCCTTACATTAAATGCTCCTATATGAAATTGGTGGCGTGGCTTTAGGAGACTATC